ACAGAACTGTTCTGAGGAAGGGTCACCGGACCCGAAACGTTAACTCTGTTTTCTCCTTCACAGATGCTGCCAGACCTACTGAGCTTTTCCAGCAACTTTGTTTTTGTTCTTGATTTACAGCATCTGCAGTTCTTTTGGTTTTTATTTAGAACTAAGAAAGGTCCTGGCTAGTTTTTGAGTATACAAGGACCTAGAGGAAGCAGGAAGTGATGGACTATATAATATCAGTATTCTAGGGGATTAATCAAGCAAGCGGTCTCCTATGCCAAACGTTTCCTAAAATTAACTGAAAAATCTGTCTTCACATTTTAACTTAAATACAATAACAATTGTTTGCATTTGTAAGTGGAGTGATAGTGTTTAAAAGAATAAAGTGTCCCAAGCACGACATGAGTGTGTTTTGGACAAACTTTGACATAGTCACAGAAGGATAAGGTGACAAAATTTGCTTAAAGATGGAGCATTTAAGGAGTGTCCTAAAGCAGGAGAGCAGGGAGGAGGTAGAGGGATTTAGAAAGAGGCTTCAAAATTTTGGCTTCCAGTTGGCCAAGGCACAGCCACCAGTGATGGGTAAAGAAATCCAAAAATGTAATGCAGTGTTGGAAGAGGGGGTTATAGAATGGAGGAATTTCCAGAATAAAGGACATTTGTGGGTCTCAAAGCATGTAGAAAAGTTGGGTGGTAGGGCTGTATATTTGGATGTGGTTACAAAGCAAGAGAGAAGGTTTATAAAATGATAAGAAATAGAAGTAGCAGTAGGTCATTTGACCCACAAAACTTACTGCATCATTTGATAAGAAACTGTGGGAGGAATGTTAAGCAAATTTGCAGACGCCGCCAAGGTGGGTAGAGTTTATTGAAGACGGTGGTAAGTTACAGTAAGATATAGATGGGTTGGTCAGATGGCAAACCAATGACAGATAGTATTTAACCCTGATAAGTGCGAGGTAATGCACTTTGAAGAAGAAATACAATGAGGGATATTTAATGAATGGCAGGGTATTCTGTACCTTTTAGAGGAACAGTCATCCTGGGGTAATTATTCACAGATCCCTGAAGTTGGCAGAGAACGTGAATAGGATAGTTAAGAAGGCATATGGGACACTTGCTTTCATCAGTTGTAGCATAGAGTATAAGAGCAAGGAGGCAATGTTGGAGTTGTACAGTGTGTTCATCAAGCCACAACTGGAGTAGTGTGTGCAATTCTGGTCACCTCACTACCTCACTATAGCGCTATAAGCAGTACAGAGGACGTTCATCAGGATGTTGCCTGGGGTGGAGTAATTGAGCTGTAAGGAGTGACTAGATAGCTTTGGATTGTTTTCTTTGGAGCAGAGAAGACTGAGGAGTGGGGACATGATTGAGGAGTATGGACAGGGTGAGTAGAGAGCAACTTTTTCCCCTTGTTGAGGGTGTTAATTACGACAGGGCATGGTTTTACAGTAAGGGACAGGAGATTCAGAGCAGATTTGGGGGGAAAAGATACCTTTTCACTCAGTGGTTGATGGAAATTTGGAATGCACTGCCGGGTAGGTAATGGTGGCTGGAAACCTTACAACCTTTTCTAAAAAACAAAATTTGGATGAGTGCTTTAAATATGTAACATTCAAGAATATGGGACCAATGCAGGAAATTGGGATTAACGCACTTTTAATGGTAGTTATGTCAGTGCAGACTCGATGGTCTGAAGAGCCTTTTCTGTGCTGTATGAATAAGGCCACCATCAGATTTGTAGCACTTTCCCGCTTGTCCCACAGTGTTCAGTATGTTGATAAAAATCTAACTTTGGATCATTGAATATGTTCAAAACAGCCTCCACTGATGTCTGTGGAATAGAATTCCACAGACTGATGATGTTCTGAGAGAAGAAATTCCTCCTGATCCTCCCCCTTAACTGGGAGACTTCAGCACCTACCATGTTGAACAACCTCCAAATTTTGTATATTCCAGTAAGATCACCTCTCATTCTTCTAAACTGCAAGAGTACAAGTCCAGCCTGCTCAACCTTTCCTCATAAGAGAGCTCCTTTTATTTCAGGAATCTGCCTTCCTGAGCTTTCTCTGAATGCCCTCCAGTACAAGTACAGTCCTCCTGAGACCAAAACTATTCCAGCTACGCCATTTCGGTTCATGAATATCCTGTGCAGCTGTGGCAAGATATCCCTATTTTTATATTCCATCCTCCTTACAATAAAGGGCAGCATTCCATATGTTTTCCTTATTATTTACTGTTACCTGCATGATAACTTGTTATTCATGTACAGGGACAAGATCCCGATGTATTGCAGCATTTTATAGTTTCTCCATATTTAAAAGATTTACATTTCTATTCTTAATGTTAAAGTAGACAACTTCACAGTTTCCCACATTGTTTCATCTGCCAATTTTTCCCACTCTAAATTCCTTTGTAGATCTTTGTATCTTCATCCCAGCTTACTTCCCTATTTATCCTTATCATTCTGCAATGATATGGCTGCAATGCAGTTTGTAGCTTCATCTAAATATTTTAATATAGATCAGAAATAATTGAGACTGCAGCTCTCTACTAATGGCAGTTTTCCAATCTGAAAACAACCTGACTCCATTTCCTTCAGTTAGCCAGTCATGGTAAGGCTACTAGTTTTTTTTATTTGTCTGGGAATTCAGAACAGTGGGAATGGATGTTAGGGCAGTTGTATGCTCCTCCTGTAGAATGTGGGAGGTAAGGGTCACCACTAGTGTCCCCACTGACTTCATCTGCAGGAAGTGCACCCAACTCCAGCTCCTCGGAAACCGCGTTAGGGAACTGGAGCTGGAGCTGGATGAACTTCGGATCATTTGGGAGGCTGAGGGGGTAATTGAGAGGAGTTATGGGGAGGTAGTCACACCTCGGGTACAGGAAAAAAGTAGATGGGTTACAGTCAGGGGACGGAAAGGGAACAGGCAGACAGTGCAGGGATCCCCTGTGGCCGTTCCCCTCAAAAACAAGTATACCGTTTTGGATACTGTTGGGGGGGGGG